CCTATATTGATTTGTTGATATCTATATATGTATATGTTAGTCTCTCTTGTTAGAAAGGAAACTTCTTGAAGTTGTGGACTCTTTCCCTCTTATACTTGTATCCCTGGTACCAAGCACAATGGTTGGTACTTATTTGACTTTTAATAAATAGTTGGTGATTGATGGATGTTTGTATTTAGGAATATGTCTAGCAGAAAATCTAAATGCAAATTTGAATCACACACCTTTTTTTTGCACCACATTTTATGGTTTCTTCAGCTACTTTGAAGATTACACAGAAAACTATTTTTTTTTCCCAGCAGTTGAGCTGAGAATTTGAGGAAAGGGTGTGTGATGAAGGAGAAGGAAAGGTGTTGACAGTTGTCTGCCCTCCATGACTCCAGAAGAAGGACCCTTGTAATGTAGGCTTTAAAAAAAAAAAACTTTGCTTGCTGGTTTTAACAGTTTTGAGAAGAGAAGTAATGGCAATATTCCTAGGAGCTTGTAATAATAAATGCTTGGCTCTGGATGACCTGAAATTAAGTACTTCAGTTTTCAATTGGAATCTCTTAACCTACACATTTTGGATTTCCTCTGAGGTATAATAATACCTTTTATGGGTTTATGTTTTCCTTTAAAGCATCCCTGTGATGTTTTATGACAGGCCAGTTTGTGACTATAAATCCTATACATTGCTACATTTTTTTCCCTGATGTAAATGAACATGATTCAAAAGGTATACTATACTTCAGAGAATTTTAACCTTTGTATGATACTGATTTAGGAGACAAGAAGAGAATGAGATAGTCTTTTAGAATCCTGTTCACTATTTAATCTCTTTTGCAGCTCACCTTGCCCAGCAAGGCAGGACAGCTAATCTCCCTGAAGATCAGAATCATTGCTGTTCTATAAATCAGCTAGCAAGAGTTTCTCTAAATACTTGTCCATATCATTCCCCCATCAGAAAACTGTCAAGTCTGAACTCACTCCCTAGCATGGAACATTCCAACTGGACCTTGACACATATTTATATATATATACATATATATATATATATATATATATATATATATATATACACACACACACACACAATACACATATATATGTATGTATGTATGTATATGTATATGTATGTATATGTATATGTATATATATTAGCAGAACTCGACTATTCAGAAATAAATATATGAGTATAAACATATATAAATACGTTACTTCCTCAATCAGGAATATAAGTCAAATTGATTCAGCAAGCATTTTTTCATGCATTTACCATATGCCAAACCCTGTGCTAAGTAATGGGACTACAAGGAAAGGCAGAAATAGTCCTCAAAGAAACTCACATTCTAATGAGGGAGACAAAATAGAAGATACAAGAGACTAAATAAAACTGAGTATTGACTGTCCCTGTTGTGAACTCTAGAAAATAGCTCTTAAAAAGTGGGGATGAAGGGCAGCTAGGTGGTGCAGTGGATAGAGTGCCAGCCCTGAAGTCAGAAGCACATGGGTTCAAATCCGGCCTCAGACCAAACACTTGACACTTACTAGCTGTGTGACCCTGGGCAAGTCACTTAACCCCAATTGCCTAAAACCAAAAGAAAAAAAAAAGTGGGGATGAGAGGCAGTTAGGTGGTGCAGTGGATAGAGTACCAGCCTTGAAGTCAGGAGGACTTGAGTTCAAATCCGGTCTCACACCAAACATTTAACACTTACTAGCTGTGTGAACCTGGCCAAGTCACTTAACCTCAATTGCTAAAAAACAAAAAAAAAAAATGGTGGGGATGTTGATCTTCTTCAGAGAAAGACTCTTTGTGGAAATAACTGGAGTGTAAGTATCCTCCTGCTTTTTTTTTTCAAGGAACCAAGGCAGATTCCCCATACTTTCCTTTAAGGTACAAAATAGTTCTTCTAAGTAAGATGATTAATAATAATAAACTAATAATAACAAATCACATTCATATAGCACATTAAAGTTTATAATTCACTTTCCTTACAACCCCATGAAATAAGTAGTACATATTTATTATTTAAATTTTATGGATGAGGAAACTGAGAATCAGAAAAGTTAAATGACTTGCCTGGCATCACACAGCTAGTAAGCAATGTCTCCAGAACTCCAGCACAGACCTTGTAACTGTAGGTCCACAACTTTGACTACAAAAACACATGAAGATTTAGCCCAAGTTTTTTCTCTAGAAAAATCTATCTCTTACTCTATTATTAATAACCCTTTGTCAGATAACATCTATCCGGAAAGACATGTTCTTACTGCTCTTCAATTTGCAGAGGCATGAGCCTGGGATGAGAGATCATTTCTGGCTGTCTTAAATATTTAATTAACTATTTTGAACAAACACATAACTTCAATATAGCAAAGCATACCAGTTTGAAACTAATAATATTATGAAACATTTCAGTGGGTTAAGTCATTAAGACATAGTTATCCACATCCATAGGCATGGTTTTTTTTCCTTCCAAAAGTATATTTTTGCTATTATGGAAATTAAATATTTATTGAAATACATTTTGGGGAATATCATTGAGACTTTTTTCCTGAATGCAAAAATTGCTGGGCTAATTGTGAGCTTAATATATATATGATCATTAATGCATGGATAAGCTAAAAAATAAGTTATTAAGTTTTGTAAAACTCAAAGCATCTTATGTTTACCTGTTAATCACTTAATTTTTAAAACATCTCTACTATATGCCTGGCAGCATGTTATGAAAAAAAAACAAAAACAAAAATGAAAAAGTCCTCAACTTCAAAGAGACATCAGGAAAGGTTGCATGCAAGGAGGTGACACAAGCATAGTTTAAGGAAATAAGAAGTTCTAAGATGTAGCAGGCACTGGAGCACAGTCAGGGCTAAGTCTCTGAGATAGGAGATGGAGGATTATAGAACTAATGATTTATTTTTTATGTCCCCTTAAAAATTCAGCACACCAAAATTTCAATGTTCTATATACATCGGTTTCATAGTGGTTTTAAGACATCAAAGAACTCAAATTGGTCTAGGATGAAAGGGAATACAGTATACAGCAAAACAGGGAATGAATGAAATTTAGTTGGAGAGTTCATTGTCAGGTGGAATGGCAAGATAATCATCACATCCTTTAATTTTCTATAGATGGGACAGGAAATATTTCTTAAATAGACAAAAATTGCAGTGCAAAGGTCAATCGTCATGATAGCAATGCACATATGCAAAAAGAGTAATGCCACTTTCCTAACTAAAGCAATGACCATTCTTTGATTAAGATGTATATGTGTATTTCTGCAACAGAATTGTACCATCTGCAAAGGGGCAAAAATAAATAAATAAACAAACCAGACAGCTTGAGCAAAGGAAAGCCAATAGCTATAATATTAGAAACTCTTTGGGGTCAAATAAAAATAAAACAACAGGATTCTCTACTTCATATGATATTTTGAATATCTAGTTCCACACCTGGCCAATATAAAGAGATTAAAAAGATTACAGCATAATTATTGGAATAGTAGAAATGATTTATGAGAAACATTTAAAAATCCCAAATATCTACAGCTGGCTGAGTAATGACTGATGGAAAAGATGATGACAATCTATAGATATTTGAAATGTATAAATATTTAGGAGGGGAAAGCTATTTTGCAAGTTAGGAAGAACAATGATATGTAAAAGTAATTACTAAGAGTAATAGGCAGAAATTAAGAAACAGAAAACATAAATTGAATATAGAAGTTTAACTCTGTGAGCGAGCTGTATTACATTGTTGAATAGTATCCAAATAAAACTAGAGAAGCTTCGTTACTTGGGAAATTTACAATTATATTCAAAGAAGCAGTTCTAGTAGAGTGAAATGAGCTAAAGTCTATGAGTTTATGGAGCCAAAGGAATTAAGAAGAAACTGTTAAACTGGAAGCTAAAACTAATGAAAGTTTCTATTCAATTTCATCCTATATAATAGCTGCATTTTACATTATCCAGCAGAGAGGAAAATGTGAATATTTTTATATTCAAGATAATTCATATTGCTTTGGATATTCGTAGTTAGCATTTATATTGTGCTATAAAGTTTGCAAAATGCTTTAAAAATATCTTATTTTAGCTCCCCACAAATTTGGGAAATAGGTGCTATTATTGTCTTCGTTTTCCTCATTCCTCAGATGTGATATGGACTGTAATAGGTTTTTGACTCTCCAAGAGTAACAAAACTAATAAATCTTTGAGATGAGATTTGAACTCAATTCTTCCTGACTCCAGATTGATCACTCTTTCCATTGCATCACCTACCTGCCTGATATTAATATTTTCATCAAAATTTAATCCTCATATCACACATTATCTAAAAAATAACATGGTATTTTAAAATATTTGTGCTTTTGAAGCAAAACATAAAGTAAAAAAGTATAAAAATTTATTTATTTTGCTCACATTGTTATTATTATAAGTGCTAAATGTATAACTTGGTTGTTTTTATTTTCTATTAATATCTAAAAAGGTTAAGCAAATGAAGAAAAAAAAAAAGAAAAATTACCAAACTAGAATATACAAGTGTCTCTCTGGCCTGTCATTTAAAGTACCGACTTTAGTTTTTTTACTGAAATAGAAATAGTGTTGTTAACTTACCACGTGAAGAATCGTTAATAGCACCAAATTCAAAGTATCTGCTTGTGATTCTACCCTTTTCATAGTATTCTAAACATTTAGAAAACCCTTGCTGACAAAATTCATGATTTCAATGGAAAATAGCTTGTGTTTCTATTATGAGTTTCTATATGATCAGTATGACCAGGGGTAGAGTGGGAAAAGGAGAAATATGGTGGTTGACCTGCTTCATACCCTTTCTTTGCTTTTACCTCCATAGTATAGAGTAAGTACATCAGCTGAGTAGCACTGATAATCCACCACCACTACCTGCTGCATCAATAAACCTATATCTATGCATCTTACTGTATAATTTCGTATTTGGTCTAAGTTTGGCAAGTTAATTTAAGTCACTAGGGAAAGCTGAAATTTTTCTTTGTTCCCACAGCCGCTAAACTATGAGAAGAAGAAGTCCTATACTCTCAACATAGAAGGAGCAAATACACATCTTGATTTCCGATTTTCTCACTTGGGCCCATTTAAAGATGTCACCATGCTGAAGATCATTGTGGGAGATGTTGATGAACCACCACTCTTTTCAATGCCTTCCTATGTTATGGATGTTCATGAGAATGAGAAGATTGGAACAGTGGTTGGCACAGTGGCTGCTCAAGATCCGGACAGTGCTAATAGCTTAGTAAGGTACAGTCAAATGAAAAAGGTTTTAGTCATTTAAACATAGATTAGACACCTAGAAGAAGCTGGTTTCCCTGTACTTTATTTCCACCAAATATGAATGCTGCAATGTCATTTAAGTACATCCAATTTGTGAATAACTTGATTTGTATAGCAAGATATTCTGAAAGTGAATAATCATGCCTGTGATTTTGGGTTTGAAGAAGAAAAATAGACTTCTGTATGGATATATATGTATACACATATACATATATATGTGTGTGCTTGTGTGTATTGTATGTATATATGAATTGAGGAGAATAATTACATTATTTGACCTTTACTAAAATGGCTGATTAGAAAGGGGAGGTAATAGAACATAATGAGGGTACATGTTCATTGTGAAAATGTAACCAAAACTTCAAGCTGAGAAAAGGAGAAAGGGACGGAAGAAGCACAACATAAGATGCCTGTGCCTTTCCACTTAGACATGATAGGTAAAGTACAGATGTTTTGAAATCTAAGAAATAGTGGTACTCGCATTGCCAACATACATTTCTTGTCTCAGACCAATCCTGAAGAACTACTCTGATGAATCATCATATAAAAAAAAGAGAAGATTTTGTGAAATTATAATACTCTTCCAAAGTGGCCTTGTACTACCTACAAATTTTATTCCTGGCAGTATATGGCAATATCAATAAACGAACATAAATATCATTATCCTATGTATGCTACTAAAATCATACTACCTCTAAAAATGAACTTTACAGACTGGGACCAAGTCCTTCTTTTAGAAAAGATTTTTTCCCCCCTGAGATCAACGGTCTTGTTAAATTTTATACATTTGTAAGACATTTTCCCTTCTCAGGAAAATAAACCATTTTTGTTTCTGAAGTCATATGATTATATATATAATTAATAAATATAGTAGGTAGTTTTCAATCAATAAATTTATACATTTTATTGAATACTTTTTGTGCTCAGCACTTTGGAGAATATGGAATTACAAAAAAAAAAGTCCTATAAGAAGCTTACAAAAATCCACCTGGATAAATAAGGACATCATATATAAAACAATAAGCAATATAAAACAGTATGCTGCAATGGGGACAGATAGGTAGCACAGTGGATAAAGTGCCAGGCCTACAGTCAGGAAGAGTTAAAATCCAGCCTTAGACACTTATTAGTTATGTGACCCTGGGCAAGTCACTTAACCCTGTTTGCTTCAGTTTCCTCATCTATAAAATGATCTAGAGAAGGCAATGACAAACCACTCCAGGAGCTCTGCAATGAAAACCCCAAGCAGGGCCACAAAGAATCAAACATGACTAAAATAATTGAACAGCAACAACAACGTAATTAGTATCTAAATTTCATATTGCAGAGTATCAGTGCTGCAAAACTTCAAAAAATATTGAAAGCTAGAATAGTCATGTAAGGCTTCTTGGAAGATATGTGATTTTATCTAGGCCATAAAGGTTGTGTAGGGCTTTGATGACTAGAAAGAAAAGGGAATGCTATTCTAGATGAGGGATCATGAACAGAGAAGCCAAAAAAAAAAAAAGAGTAGGGAATATAAAGAAGCCCTGTTACTGGGTATAAATTGAGAAGTAAAATGAGTAGGACAAGGTAGGGCAAGATTTCTGAATGTTAGGAAAGCCAGCAACTTCATGTAGTAAGAAATAGGAAGCCATTGAACAGTTTTATATAGGTCAGGTACATAGTAAAAGTAGTGTTTCAGAAAGATTGATTTGGCAGCAGTATACAGAATGGACAAAAGTTAGGGAGAGATGGAAAACAGAGAAGTCAATGAGGAAACTATTATAGTTCTCCAAGTATAAGTATTTAGGGTCAAGGGTTAAAGGAAATAGAAAATAATGAAGGGACTTGAGATGCATTTTAAAAGAAAAATTAATAGGCCTTGGGAATCAATTAAATATGAAGCATTTCTGTTAAGAACCATAGAATTTTACAAGTAAACAAATTGAAAAAGGTCAAGTGACCTGGTCAAGTCCCACTCCCCCAAATGCCAGAACCCAGTCCAAAGCCCATGTTCCCAGACTTTGAGACTATTGCTCTTATTATCACATGTAATGATGAAGGAGAGAAATGAAGCAAAAGTATCTAATATCTGAATCTGCAAGATTCAGACAGTATGACTTTCAGAGTTATCACAGTAAAACTTGTTCAAAAAACGAAATGTGGTTGACTAAAATAACATGTCAATTAAAGTTTTTTAAGAGCCCAAATCAAATAAATCAAGATCCTTCATTGTGACATTTTAATTGTAAAAAAATTATACGTCAAAATAGTGAACGAATCTAATAATATGGTCTGCAAAAAATAAATGGGAGACCAAAAACAATAGTAAAAGGGGACAAAAATACCAAACCACTTCAAATTATACTGTTATTTTTATATCAATATAAAAGTAGAAGTTTGTGTATTTCTTTAAAAATGTTTTGGGATTCTTTGTATTTTAGAAATACAATCATAATTTCCAGAAAAGTTTTAAGAACAAAAGAGGCAGTCTTAAGTTAAGAAGAGAATTCCCCATAGCATGATACAGTGAACCAATTTAAACAGAGTACTTTAATGAAATGTTTTTCTGTAGAGACTCAGTTTCAAATATTTCCCAAATTTTTGTTGTTATTGTTCATCATTGAGTAGACACAGCAACTATCAGAACTCCACAGCTACCTCTATGCAAAATTGAGGCGTTCATAACAGTTGGCTCCTATGCCATGTCAGCTTGACCACATATGTTTATAAAGTAAGAGGATTGTACCATATGATCTCTTAAATCCTTTGTAGTTCTGTCTACAATCATATTATATTGTGAATTCTTTTCTACCTCAGACTCTCACTAGCACAGTAATGCTCTGAAATAATCCCATAGAATTGCTTCTCCTACAAGAACTCAAATGTTTGAAATTTGCTCTGGAACTCAGTATTTCTTTTTTTGCCTCTCCCAATCCTCCTCGTTGTACTTGGCTTTTTGATCTTATGAAAACCTTGAATCCTATGATCCTTTCATATTTTCTTTCTAAATTTAATTTGTACCCCACCATCTAACCTCATTAGCATCTAAGATACCTCATCTTTTGCCAATATTTCCTTGTTAATTCCCAAACATGAGAAATCCCTTTTATCTGATTTCTACACTGATATGCTGCCCAATACTGTTGGAGAAATCTGTGATACCATATTTACTGGATACACTTAAAAGTCACTTCTGTTCACTAATTATTTTTATTCACCTTCTGTATAATGGTCATTCACTCATTTTCCAGTCATCTCATTCTGCTAGTCTCATCTCTCCTACCTTATTATCAGTAGAGAATTTCAATTCCTACTTTATTAGGAAGATGGCAACCAACCCAAATTTAACTCTCAAAGTTTCCTCTTCTTTCTCTCAGAATTTCTTTGTCTTTACCTACCCTGTTTTCCTTTATTCCCATTAATGAAGATGTGTTCCATCATTTTTGTTTTTAACAAAATATTATTTTAACATTCTTTTATTTTTAAATGTTGAGTTCCAAATTATCTCTCTCTGTCTCAAACTCTCCATTATCACTGAAAAGGCAAACAATATGATACCAATTATACATGAGAAATCATGCAAAACATATTTGCATGTTTGACATATGTAAAAAAGCAAGAAAAACAAAGTGAGAAAATTAACCTCAATTTGCACTCAGAATTTATCAGTTCTCTCTGTAGGTGGATAGCATTTTTCATCATGAATCCTTTGGAATTGTCTTAGATTATTATATTGATCAGAGTAGGTAAATCTTTCACAATTAATCATCATTACAACATTCTTGTTACTGTGCACAGTGACCTCCCAGTTTTTCTCACTTCATTTTGCATCAGTTCCTATATGTCTTGCCATGTTTTTTTTTTTAACTGAAACCACCTCCTCATCATTTCTTTTCTTTTCTTTTTTTTTTTCAGCCAAAGACAAGGTTTATTAGAACATCCATCATATTGGGCAGACTCTTAAGGAGTCTGAACATTAGTAAGCTATTGGCTTATTGGCTAGATTATAAGAATCTAGGCAGTGGCTAGATTATAAGAATCTGAGACCTCACCATTTCTTATAGCACAATAGTACTCCATCCCAATCATAAGCTACATGTTCATCTTTTGCCCAATTAAGCAAACCTTCAATTTTCATTTCTTTGCCACCACAAAAAGAGCTACTATAAATATTTTTGTACACATAGATGCTCTTTTTCTTTAATCTCTTTGGGGCACAGATCTAAGAGTAGTATTGGTGCGTGAAAGGGTATGTATAGTTTTATAGTACTTTGGGTATATTTTCAAATTGTTTTCTAGAATGGTTGAAACAGTTCATAACTCTACCTATAGTTCTATAGTGTGCCTGTTTTCCCTTATCCTCTCTAACAATTGTCATTTCTGATATGTGTTAGGTACTACCTTACAGTTATTTTAACTTGCCTTTTTCGAATCAATAGTGATTTAGAGCATTTTTGTATATAGACAGCTTTGATTTCTTCTGAAAATTGCATGTTCATATCCTTTGACCATTTATCAACTGAGGAATGGTTCTTATTTTAATAAATTGGACTAAGTTCCTCATATATTTGCAAAATAATGTCTTTATCAGACAAATTTGCTATACTTTTTATGTTATTTCTTTTATTTTAGCTTTTAGAAAAATGTATTGTATCTAATTATTATCTCTTTTAATATGGTCTGTATTTGCTTTTGCTTTTTATGAGATCATGATTGCTACCTCTGCCTTTTTTTTTTAACAAGATGAATATTAGCTTTTGTTCCTACCCTTTATTTTAATTCTGTGTGTCTATTCAAGTGTGCTTCTTGTAAACATGTTGTTTGATTCTGGTTTGTAATCATTCTGCTGTCTTCTTCTATGTTATGTGTGAGCTCATTCCATTCATATTCACAGTTATGATTAATAACTGTGTATTTCCCTCAATCTTAATGTCTTTTGTTTCTTCCTTTCTCTTTTTATGTCATCCCTGCTCAAAAGTCTA